AAAGCTACATTGAATGAAGGTTGAGAGTAAGGTAATGCTGATGTGTTCCTACTGAGTGCTGACTGGGTCGTGTATATGTCAATGATGGATACTGAAGGTTTGTGATCCGAAGTGCGGATAAGTGGAACCCGGATGTGTGAAGTAAGTGTCATGCTGTAGACTGTTGCTAGGCTGTTTGTTAGACTGGAGGACAGTCTTTTCTAGCTCATGTGTTGTGATTAATAAATGTGAAACTGTTAACAACTGGTGTCTACTGTTTTGTGGAGAAGTTGCAGGTGCTGACTGGAGAGAAACTCCGTGTGAACACTAGACAACGACTAATCTCTTATTACAATAAGAGAAACATCACAAGCCATAGACAGTCGAATCCACTTAAGTCGAACTCGGATAAGTCACATTTTGGTTAAATCAATATGACCAGCTTAGTCCCAGCAATTTTCCTTCTTTATATTAGTATTTAAAATCCTGAGAAGTTGAATTTGGTTAACTCGAATATTTGGATAAGTCAAATGTAAAAAAAATTCCGACTATATACACGTCCCTGTAAAGTCAAACTTTTCATTATCACTATGTAAGAAAAATTCATTTCATCAAAAATTTTCTTTAGTCAGCCCGGAAAATAACGTGAAATCTCCCAGCTACAATATCTCGCTACACACAATATTAATATAGGTGAGTTAGGATCTGCCTATCCAAGCATGCAAAGACTACTGTTGGCAGAATGCGCGGAGGAATCCATATGTGGTTCAACGGGCAAGAAGGCTACACTAGCAAAACACTGTGGAGCGCATAGAGCATGGCAAGGCATGTAGAACACCCTGGTCATTCACTGCACCTAGACATATCTCCAGTCGCCCTGACTCTGTTTTGCCACTGGACCCAGATATGACTTAGGCGAGAGAGGTCGACGACACTGCGCAACTCTTCCTCACTTTAATCCAAGTCACCGCGCAAGTCACTCTTTCATGCTCATTCCCTGTTCCCACTTATCGGGCTTGCAACGGCCTCATCAGCCATCTTTTAATCATACTTGATGAAAAAGAGTGGTCATCATCATCTTGATGGACAACACACACACATTAATAATGGCAGCTGGTGCTCAAAAGCTGACTAGTTTAACTTTAAAAAGAAAGACTGAACAGTTGAAAGAGACTAACATAGTGGGAAGAAGAAAATGGATATAGCTAGGGAATATGGTATTCCAAGCTCGATGCTTTCTGGCATTTTAAAGTATAAGGAACGCTACAGAACATTGTTTTTTTTAGTGTAAAATCAACAGTGACAGACAGTGATATAGAACTGCGACATGCGATTGTTGATGTTGCCCTTTAAAATAGTTAACTGAGCTTAGATCGGCAAATGTACTCACGAAAAGCCCATTAATTATGGCAAAAGCAGAGAAATTTGCACGTCTCGAAGGTCAGACAGACTGGAAATGTAGTGCTGACTGGTTCGATTGTTTCAAAAATGCTACTGCATAATATTTTTCAGTCCAAGAAGCAGAGCAAATTACAAATTTTTTCTGTATTTAATTTCTAAATTTTCTGTTGGTTTTAATGTTATACCTTCTAAAATATTTCTGACATTGTATTGCTATTTATTTGTTTAATTATGGTGTTTCCTAACTGGTATCATTGTTTTAGTCAATGCTACTGCTCAGTTTTTGTGTACATTCTCAGCTGTGTGAGTTGTCTGGATAAGTAGAACTCCTGATAAGTGAAAGCATTTTCTTAGGTCCCTGCAACTTCTACTTATCCAGACTGGACTGTAGCAGTTATATTAAGGTACCGCAAAACATCTATAAAAGATGCAGTAACTGTACAAATGGGTAATTCTGCCTCTGGCCAACAGTTGGGCAATAACAAGGCATTTGAAAATTTAACTTAAAAGCTCTTAGAAATCTGGACTCAGGTGTGACTCTGCAAAGAAGGATGCTTTATTTTTTTTTAAAGAAGGCAAACAACTTTCAGTTGTAAAATTTTCTGAAAATCTTTGATTGAATCATCTGAATAAAGTTAAAAATAAATGTTAAATCTATATTAATAAAAATGTTAATTTTCCGATGTTGTTATTCCTAAACACGGAAACTACTGAACCGATTGCTTTCAAATTTGCACACAACGTTGCCTTCAACTCCAAGCGTGATTTTTTTGTCAGAAAATCGCAGAAAACATGAACAATGTAGCTCCAGCAACGGTCAAATCATCATCTGTTTCGTTGCCGGCCCGGATTTCTTTTTAGTTGATTGGCTATTTTTGGTTGCCGAGCTCTTATTGAACTTTGCATTATTATATAATCTCATTTCCACTATCTGTTTGAGTGTTTGGTAGCGTAGTTGGTAACTATTCTGCTTATCATGCAGGTGACCCGCGTTCGATTGCCCGCTAGGTAATATAATATTTTTTTTAGCCCCTAACTGGGCGGCTGGCATGTTGTATTGTGGTTTATGGCTAGGCTGCGATATCTATGCCTTTTTCGGTTTGGGGTTTACAGCTAGCCTGTGACAGCCGCGACAGAATGCTCAATAGTCATGTCACGGGTATTCTTCGTTCGCCCTAGAGAGGGCCGTTGGCACGTTGTGTTGTGGTTTACAGCTAGGCTGCGATATCTGTGTCTTTCGCCCAAAGACATCCGATTTCAGTTAAGTCCCAATGAGCCTCCCCGCGACGCTTCTCAATTAAAAACTATTCGGCGATGACAGAAACTGTTACCTAAGACGGCCTACAGTCCAGTTTAGTTTGGGTGGACACAGATGCCAAGGTCAGTTAAAAATCACTCCTTCGGAGAGGGAGAGGTGACGGGTGCGGGGTATTTTTCTCTGCTATTTGTGAGTATAGTGTACTTTTCACTGTGGGTTCCATCATTGGTTACGTGATGAAGTTTTTTTAAATTTCTATGTCGGGGGCAACATTAAACTAAATAGTCCGTGGCGACAGCATGCGGCGGTAACTCCTCTTTTCTACTCCAACCTACACAGTCTGTAGTGACAGTTTTTGTTGTTGTTGTTGTTGCTGTTGTTGTTGTGATGGTGGTGGTTGCAGTAGTACTGGTACTGGATGGGTGATTTGGTAGCTGTTACACTGGCTACATTTACTTCTCTGTGCAAGTTAATGTTTCCTATTTAAGTCTGGGTGGACACGGATACCAAGCTCAATTTAGTTACAATATTTCGTCACACGGTGACTTTCCCATCCTTCGGAGAGGATGATATGATTGTGGGGGGGGGGGGGGGTTATGTCAGACACAGTTAGCTGAGAGAGCTTAAAATATGATTTTAACGTTCTTATTTCTTAGCTACTTCTATTTTAATAATTTCGCCAGGTGATGATTTTTAAATCCTTTGGAGAGGGAAATATGATGGGGAAAAGGGGGGGGGGGGTTGGGAAGGGGGGGGGTTAAGCCAAACACAGTTAGCTGAGAGAGCTAAAAATATTATTTTTAGGTTCTCATTTCTTAACTTTTTCTATTTTAATAATTTGGCCATGGATGATTTTTCAGTCATTCAGAGAGGGAGATATGACTTCGCAAGGTAATGATTTTTCAATCTTTCGGAGAGGGATATATGATTGGGGAAGGTGGGGGTTATGCCAGACACAGTTAGCTGAGAGAGCTTAACATATTATTTTAAAGTTCTCATTTCTTAACTATTTCTATTTTACTAATTTTGCCAGGTGATGATTTTTCAATACTTCGGAGAGGGAGATATGACTGGGTCGAAGGTAAAGGAGGAGGGGGTGTGGGGGGGGGGGGGGGATATGACATACACTGTTAGCTGAGAGCTATTTTCTTTCCTCTCCATTTCACCATTCTGGGCCACAGCAACGCGTGGCCGGGTACAGCTAGCAACAGATAAAACTCTTGAAAATCTTTGCTTTTAAACAACTGCTGGAATCACTATTTTTTTTTTCCCTGACTGATTAATTTCTACATATTCTTTAACTGAGTTACCCTTAAATGTATTTTTTTTAAATACACTACTAAACAAGGTTATTATAACAACTTAAACAATGAACAGATGCAAATATATTACTGACAGTGCTAAAGACTACAGTGTTATATTAACCATCTAACTTCCCCTAGTATTGTTTATATTCTTATATGTATGTGATAGTTGGACTCTCAATGTGGAAATGGAGAGAAGGATTCAGGATTTTGAATATAAATACTACTGACAAATTCAATTCTACGAGTTAGTTTTTTAGAACACAAACCTAACAAATATGTCAAGAGTCAAAATAAAAAAATTTCGCAGGACATCAGGAGCCTCTCTTGGCAGTCGTTAAATGTCACAAGCTAGCTTGGTTTTGGGCACATGGTGAGACATGATTTGATTGCAAAGAAGTGCTTAAAGAAACCTTGGGGACACAGTCAAATGAGGAGGGCAAAGAAGAACTTGGAATGACAACATCAAGAATAGACAGTACTGTTATCATTCACTTGTTCAACAAGCGGAAGACAGAGAAAGATGGCAGGTTTTGTGTGTTAGTGCCTCCATCAATACACCCAACGGGTCGAGGGTTATGATGTTAACTTCCCCTGCTATGTTCAGGAGCCCCTTTGTGTGGTGGTGGGGGGTGGGGGAGGGGGGTAGTGACGAGGGAATAGATCTGCTGCCTTCTAAACAAGCTTGTTTTAAAAGTGCATTTGCCTCCAAAGTAAAAAACCAATAGTCTGCATACAAGTAAACTAGACTTGTAAAACAGATATGCACACAAAAAATTGAGTTCTGAAAAAAGACTTAAGTCGAGAAGTTGATCAGCAACCAGAACTCTGTGGCAGAGTTTACAGCCAGCAAAACCAATGGTCTTTATGAAAAACAGCAGTACTGATCTAACTGCCTCTTTTATTATTAAGGAATTCTGCATGGTTTCAGTTTTATTCTCTTATTTTAAACATATGACAATTTAAAAACATTAAATGTTGGCATAATTTTGCTTTGCAGACAATGAAGAAATTTAACAAAATCAGACAATGAAGAAATTTTACAATATACTTCTTACTAGTTATTTCCAAGCTGCTTTATCAGCTGTGCATCCAAGTAGTCCATCAGTTCCTCATCGCTCCATTCATCACCAACAAATGTAGGACCAACATCCTAGATGGAGTTACACATGATAAACTAATTATAATAATTGACTACTAATGAGATTGTTGACACTAAATGAACTGTACTGCCCCATCTTTTACAATGGTAAGTTAAATGGTGGCAACAATAATGTTCATTATAGATATGAAATGCTTCAGCCACATTTTCTGAATAACATATAAACATAAAATTATAGTGATGCACAGAAAAGCATATAATCAGCTGATTTCTGAGGACATGCATATTTGAGTACAGCATAATTACATCACCTAGAAGTCCATGATGTTTTCCACATAAAGCAAAAAATGTGTAGTCATGTTGAAATCTCTGATACAAACACATTTACAGAATTTCTGCACAAATTATTCAGTAAAGTCTGGAAAAAAATACCAGAAGATCACACACATATAAAAGTTAAAGGTGAGAGGATCAACTTCACTGCACTGGGTTTTATCCCATATGGCTCAGACTCTATCCGCAGAACAGCGAGCTGCCTGCCAAGAGCATCACACAGAGTATGACCTCCATAGCTCTGGCGACGATCCCCGTAAAAATTGCACTCATAAACTGAATGGCGCCGCCATGAAATGAACCCACAACTTTCAGAGAAAATGGTTTGACCACTTCACCATGGAGACCCACCATCACAAACACAATAAGGTGACATGCAGGAGTGTGAAAACTATAGGGGAATTATGCTGCTTTGCATGTCTGGAAAAACAATATTAAGTAGGATTATTTTGAAAAAACTAAAGATGCCACTGATAAACAGATACGGGATGAAAATGCAGGTTTTTTTGGGCATAAAAAATCCTGTACTGACCAGTTAGCCTCAGTATGCATAATATTGGCAGCAAACAGCAGCTTTAAGAATTAACAACTGTTTAGGTACATTTCAAAGCATAAAGAGGGCCCTACGACAAGGATGTGTACTGTCACCTGATTTTGTTTTCAATATACAGTGAATATATAATGAGATCTTTAATTGGTATGCCTGGAATTGTGGTTGGTGGGCACAATATAAACAGTTTACGTCATGCTGATGACACAGTCTTGATAGAAACAAGTCAGAAATAACTACAGGAAATGATAGACATTGTGGTGTTAGAAAGTGGAAGAGTGGGCCTCAGTTTGAATAATGGGAAGACAGAAGTATTGGTGGTATCAAAGAAACAAATTATTCCTAAGTGTGTAATAAAAGTTGATGGTGTTATTTTAGGACAAGTACAGAAATTTAAGTATCTGGGCACATGGATAACATCAGATGGAAGATGCATAACTGAGATAAAAAATAGAATAGGACAGGCAAAAACTGCATTTTATGAAATGATAAACATCTTGTCCAATTTATCCTTGTCATTAGGAGTTAGAAAAATAATTCTTGCTTGCTATATACATCCAGTTTTAACATATGGCTGTGAATCCTGGACAATCGGTAGGTAGGCCAAACAATTTTTTTGAGGCTTCAGATTTATGGTTTTACAGAAGAATGCTTAGGATACCTTGGATAGCCAAAAAGAGCAACCAAGAGGTTTTAAATGAGGCGGGAGCCCGAAGACAACTTATCACAGACATCAGAAGGAGACAGTCATAATTTTTCGGCCATGTTATGAGAAGAGGGAAAATAGAACATGTTGTGACCACTGGAAAGATCTGTGGAAGGAGGGATAGAGGAAGACAACGAGAGAAGATGCTTGATGACAGTCTTGTTGCATGACATAGAGGTGTGTCGGCACACGAACTGATACATGCTGCAGGAGATCGCAGATTGTGGAGATTCATGATCGCCCACGCCAGTCGACAAGGCACCTGATGATGGTGATGATGATGATGCATAATAACAGAGCAAAGTATTGAGCTGTATTCACCAGTCTGTATTGGATTCGTAGACTATGGAAAAAAAAGGTTGACAGCATTGATAGGAAATCTCTCTGGAAATTGACGAGGCATTACGGGATACAAGAGAAAATAATTAACCTGTTAAAGGCCACATATAAAGACATAAAAATGCCAAGTTGTTCATGAGGAAAAAACTAACAGATACATTTTAAGTAAGAACAGGTGTACGACAGAAATCCTTTTTGTCACCTCTAGTATTTTTACTGGCAAGACTGGATGATGAAGCCAATAATGGCTACTATCAGGAATTAAATTCATTGGAACCCTAGAATGATTATCTGGTATTCGCTGATGGCATCTCTCTCTTACACCATTAAGGGAAACAGATGCAAGATACATTAAATATACTTGATGAGAGACCACAACAATCAGGTCTTAAAAATCCATAAGGAAAAACAAAGGTAATGAGAATAAATTAGGCAAACAGTAATCCAGTTTCTCTTGGTGATACCGCACACTAATATGTGAAGTAATGTACCTATTTAGGCAGTAATGTAGATAAAGCAGGGGAACTGATAGAGATGTTAAAATACAGATTGCAAGATGAGTTTTAATAGCATTAGGAATTTGTGGAAGTCGAAGGAAATTAAAGCTTATACTAAACTCAAAGTATTTAACTCTAATATCAATGCAGTACTGTTGTATGGAGTGGAAATATGGGGAACTAAAATAATTACTAATATATTACAAACATTCATTAACTAGTGCTAGCATCAAACAGAGGGAATTTAATATAATTATTATTGTGGAGCTTTGAGAGAGAACTAGACAAATTCCAGTGAATGAAGAGGTGAAGAAAAATTGGTGGCATTGGATAGGGCAAAATTTAATAAAACCTGAGTACAACGTAACTAAAAGGGCTTTACACTTAAATCCCAATGGGGCACAGATATAAAGACAGTAAAAAAAAAAAACCAAACATGGAGAAGGGAACAAGAAAGTGATGTTAAAAAAGATGGGGAGGAAATGAGGTAAGCTGCATGCAATATAAAAGAACAGGGCGACTTATGAGGTGGTTGGGGGCCCATGCTCTACTGAAAGATAAGAGTCAGAAAAATAAGAAAAAAAAGTTGTGTAATTATATGGAAAGAACAATGATGGAAGACACAGTTCCTGGAAGAAAATGAATATGTCAGCACAACTCTGGGCAGGCCATAGGAGACAGTGCTCTTGTAGTTTACATATATTCAGCAATATTATAATATATGAAGCAAGGTAACTGGCAAAGGATCAAGTAGCTTTCTTGCAGGCTGTAATGGGACTTTCTCAAAGGAGTTGCTATCTGATGATAATAAAGATAATATCATGGTACACACTGCTTAAGCATTAAGCTTTGTATATACTATATAAAAGAAAATGAAGTAGAAACACATTATTTAACCACAACTTTTTATAACGTTTTTCAACATTCTAAAAGTTCAGGAATAACCTCATAACAGTATAACAAGAACAAAATGCTGCCCCTACTGGGCTTTGAAGTGTACTAAGCACAATGCCATCATCGCTCTGCTTAAATTAATACTGTTTATAGACTAAGTCATCATCATCAAGAGCCTTGCCGACTGGCGTGGGCAATCATGCCTCTCCACAATCTGCAACTGCGTGTATCAGTTCATGTGTTGATACCCCTCCATAACATAATAAAAGACTGTCAAAAATGTTTTTACGCTGTCTTCCTCTGTCTCTTTTTCCACAGATCTTTCCAGTGGTCACAACATGTTCCATTTGATGACCGTCTCTTTCTGATATTTGTGATAAGCTGTCTTCGAGCCTTCGCCTCTTTCAAAACATCTGGATTGCTCTTCTTAGCTGTCCAAGGAATTCTAAGGATTCTTCTGTTAAGCCACATCTCAGCAGCCTCAAGATATTGTTTGGCTTGTTTACTAATTGTCCAGGCTTTACAGCTGTAGGTTAAAACTGGCTCTATATAGCATGTGAGAATTTTTTTCATAAACTCCAATGACATTAATTTATTGCATAAAATGTTGAAGTCTGTTCCCGACAGACTCTTGCAGAAGTCTACAGCTTGAAATGCAGGTAATAAAGGAAGTAGCACAGACTTCAATTATAGATGCTTTTATAATGAAGCATTCACAAATACACATTGTAACATGCCAAATAAACACAATAAATGGAAACATTTTTCACTTTATTCACATTTTTATTAGCTTTTAATGTTTAAATATTTGGTCATTCATTAAATAAGTGCTCTTCTGAAGCTTATTTTATTTACTGCTAACCTTGTCCCTAACATTTTTTGCACTGACATTGAATAAATTCACTAGAAACTAGAAAAAAATGATGGTTTTAAAGCAACTCCTGAAATTTTTATAAATAGCCAAACAAATTCAAGATGGCCACCATAATAATGTAATATTTTTGCATAATATATATTTTCATGTGTAACAACTATTCATTATGGTGCTCTGAAGATTTCAAAACCCTACGATTCCCGCATGAAGCACCTATTTAAAACTAGTAAACTAGGAGCAATTTAAAAAAAAAAGCAAATTAGACAATCTGGCTATCCTCCGAATAACCGAATAACGGTCCCAAATTATCAAGGCCAAGAAAATACGACAATACCGCCACCGCCAAGAGTTTCCCCCACGCCGCTTCGCACAGCGCGCAGGTGGGCTTAACTAGATGGCTGGGACTGACAAGCAAATAAAATGGAGGAAGCTGCAGGAGATGTGGTAGCTGCTGCGCGTGAGTCCCAGCCATCTAGTTTACCCCCTCAATGCCGCGCATAGCGGCGCGGGGGATACTCTAGGCATTGGCAGTATAGTCGCCGGAAGGAAGTCCGCAATTTACATATGACTGAGGCAATGTTAGGGTATTTTCTTGGCCTTGATAATTTGAGACCGTTATTCGGAGGATAGCAGACAATCTTGCTTAATATCAATATTTGTCAATCTCATCACTCCGCACAATATGGTATATATCTTGCCAGGTTTACTGGCAAATAACCATAAATTTATATTGTGTTTACTTAAAAATAGTCAGCCGGCTATCCTCAGAATAACGGTCCTGAATTATCGGGGCGGAAAATATACCCTAACAGGGCCTCAGTCATGTGTCAATTGCTCACTTCCGGGGACTATAACGCCACCGTCGAATTACGGACTTCCGGCAACTTCCGCCACCGCCGAGAGTATCCTCCGTGCCGCTCATGCGGCGTGGATTGGGGCTAAACTGGATGGCTAGGACTCACGAGCACATAAAATGAAGGAAGCTGCAGGAGATGCGGTAGCTGCTGCTCGTGAGTCCCAGCCATTTAGTTTAGCCCCAATCCACACCGCGTGAGCGGTGTGGGTGATACTCTTGGCGGTGGCGGAAGACACCGGAAGCGCGCAATTCAAGACGATCGAAGTGCGCAATTGATACGTGACTGAGGCACTGTTAGGGTAAATTGTCTGCCTCAGTAATTTATGACAGTTATTCGGAGGATAGCCCGGCAGTCTTTTTATATGCTAATGAGGCCCATATTGCATAATAGAATTTTAAGTTTAAGAAATGCATATTTATTGGCAATCCTCCGAATAACCATCCTAAATTCTCAAGGCCAAAAATATACCCTAACAGGACCTCAGTTATATGTAAATTGCGAACTTCGGAACCTTAAATTGCAGACTTCCAGCGACTACCGCCACTGCCGAGAGTTATCTCCCATGTCGCTACATGCGGCGTGGAGAGGGGCTAAACTAGATGTCTGGGACTCATGAGCAGCAACTAACGTATCTCCTGCAGCTTGCTTCATTTTATTTGCTCATGAGTCCCAGCCATCTAGTTTAGCCCTGCTCTGCGCCGCACGTAGTGGCGTGGGAGATACTCTTGGCGGTGATAGTAGTCCGCAATTTACATGTGAATGAGGCCCTGTTAGGGTATAATTTTGGCCTCGATAATTTGGGACCGGTATTCAGAGGATAGCCCATTTATTCATTTATACCCAACATTTCAATGTGATACAGCCTGTAATCCATCTTTTGTCAGATTACACTACAATTTGTCTATAGTGGTATCCTTCACTAAAAATGTTAATATCTTCTCTCAGAATCGACTTAATAGGCTTCATTGGGGTTTCGTTGGATTTGTTATTTTAATCTTTATCTAGGTACTGTACTCCAATTTTCGGATTTTAACAAAAATGCATTTACACACAGTTGGATAGGCATTTAAAAATGGTACCAGACCTCATTCAAGTCTGTACTGTACGTCAATTCTAAGCCGGGATGTCAGTAGCAATGTCAGTTATGTTTTATTTATATACTATATTAATTATATATACTCATCATATACACTGGGTTTTTATTTATGAAACTATCACAGTTAGATTTCAGAATGTCAGTGATGAGTCATTATACTGTCGGCAGGACGAGAAACTGCCCTGGATAATAATGCTGGTTTATATACTTACAAGGCGAACTTGGGTGCTTATTATAATGTAGGGCATGCTACAACAACAATAAATACGTTGCAACCTATCAGCTGATGTAAATACGAGAACAGATCCCTTGCCACTTTTTTTTGGACAGAAAACATTGAACTAGGTCAAAAAATATCTAGAAATATCTAGACCTGCGCGGGAAACATCTAGAAAAATAAAATCCAATTGAAAGTCACAAATTGCATGGCTATTGATATGACTTCTTCAGCATTACGAGCCTTTGAGGTTCATTGCTGCAGAAATCACCCGCCTCTATTCAGCTCTCTGGTTGGCCTTCTCTTTCCAATTGGTGAAACCAAGTTTTTGTTTGCAGGTCTGTCTGGACATTATCTCTCCATTTCTTTTTGGTCTGCCTCGTGACCTAGACCATTCATCTTCCTTGTGTAAACAGTTTTTACTTCTCTGTCATTCTTTCAAGATGCCCCAACCATTTTAGTCTATAATCTCTCATTATGCCAGTGATCAGTTGTGATTTAAATAGATTATGAATTTCGTTATTGCTTCTCACTCTTCATTCTCCGCTGTTTGCATTTGTGATGCGTTATTTATATGACTTACCCTATATAATTATGTCCTCATCTTCACTGACGTCTGTCTCACAAGATCCGGAGAATAAACCTAATTTGGGTGATGAGGTCTAAGCTTCAGATCCAAAATGACTTTGGTATGCTTTAGGTGTTCCAATTTCTTTTATTACACATTCAGGGAGCAGATAAGTTGAACAGCATTTTCCTACTCTCATCAGGCCAAATTTTATTGTAAAGATAACATTTAAGAGGTCAGGTTTCATTCTGTTTCTCAGGTTAGATTTGATATAATTTATAGTACTGAAAACTTTTTCTTACGTCAGCATTTGAATCGGATAGTATCTTGATAGACATGGCACATTTAATAAAGAGCTCACAGAATGGACAGATTCCTGGGGTATCTTTAAATTGTCTCACTTCACTACAAAACGCTTGTTTCTGTTTAAAACACTGTTTTGTTTGTTCAGTCAACCAAGTTTATTTTTGTTAAATAACATTCTGCTTCCGGAACAAATTATCAGTAGCCCCTAAAAATGTCATAGTTACAATATATAGGTGTGTCCTTTACAAGCTGGAGTATGTTGCTCACAGAAAAGAGTGAAATATTTTTCAATAGGCCACATCTAGATTTTCAGGAAGTCTCTGAATAATGAGATTTGGAAATCTTGACGGCGCTTTCTTAAGTTGTTCTCATTTTATGTTAACAGTCCTTTTGTTTTTAAATCATCAGTTAGTTATTCGATTGGATATCTAAATAATTTGGCTAAGGTGCACTATAGTAGGAGTTAGCGCCGCATGTTGCCGCCACGGACTGTTTAGTGTAATTGAGCTCCCAACAAAGAAAAAGAAAAAAAAAAAAAACCTCAATCACCTAACCAGTGATGGAACCCACAGTAATAGTCCGTTCTATACTCACAAATAGAGGAAATAAAAACCCCCACCCGTCATCTCCCCTCTCCGAATGGAAGAATGTTAAATGACCCAGGCATCCGTGTCCACCCAAAGTAAACTGGACTGTAAGCAGTCTTAGTTAACAGCTTCTGTCATTAACGAATAGTTTATGATCGAATGAAGCATCGCGGGGAGGATAAATGGGACTTTATTGAAATCGGATGTATTTGGGCGAAAGGTGCAGATATCGCAGCATAGCGTAAACCACAACACAACATGCCAACAGCCCTCTGAGGGAAAAAGAAAAATTAGCACCCAGTGGGTAATCGAACACTGGTCAACCACGTGAAGGGCGAAATACGTACAACTATACTACATAAGACTGAAGAGTTTGGGTCCGATATCGCAGCCTAGCTGTAAACCACAACACAACGTGCCAACCGCCCTCTCAAGGGCTAATGAAGATTACCCGTGACATGACCAACATCACGTTGCCGCTATCGCAGGCTAGCTGTAAACCCCCAAACAGAGCGGGGGAAAGATGTAAATATCGCAGCCTAGCTATTAACCACAACACAACGTGCCAGCCGCTTAGTTAAGGGCAAAAAAAATTAAATCACCCAGCGGACCATTGATCGCCAGTCACCCGCCTAACACGCAAAATATACAACTATGCTACCAAGGACTCAAGCATCTGCCCAATTATATCTCCCTCTCCGAATGATTGAAACATTATTATGTGGCGACATTATTAAAAATAGTAATAGTTAAGAAATGAGAACTGTAAAATAAAACTCTACGAAGTATGGGAAAGTCAGTGCCTGACAAAATATTGTTGTTAAATTGAGCTTGGCATCCGTGTCCACCCAGACAAAAATGGGTAGCATTCATCTGTACTGAGAAGTAAATGTGGCCAGTGAAACAGCTACCACATCACCCATCGAGTACCAGTACCACTGCTACCACTACCACCACCACCGTCACAACAATAACAAAAAACGGTCACTACTGTCTGTACAGGTCGTTGTAGATAGAGGAGTTGGCGCCTTATGCTGTCGCCACGGACTGTTTAGTTTAAGTGTGTCCACATAAAACTCCATCACCTAACCAGTGGTGGAACCCATAGTAGTATTCCGTGATTTAATTTTAAAAAAAAACAACAGTACACTATACTCACAAATAGCGGAAATAAAAACCCGCACTCATCATCTCTCCCTCTCCGAAGTTTTTAAAAGGAGTACAAAATTATAGGTAAGAGAAAAAATTGGTAAGATCACGATAAACAAACAAAGAACGTTGCGGCAATTAGCCTTCATCAGCACATAAAGGACAACACAGTACACATACACAAATATGCTCTAACTATGAAGTGACTACATAGGACTCTAATGTATAAAATAAATGATACTCATCTGTGTCCCGGGCGAAAAAACTTCGTACACTAAAATGACGGTCAGCATATATATCTCCAATGCGCGGGTGAAGACGAAAAAAGGGGCGGATTGGACGCCAAGAGCATACTCTTAGTGTCTAAGGAGGGAGGGAGGGATTGGCCTATAGGGCGTAACCGGGGTTGGGTTGTGGGGATGACATTAGTCCATCCGCATGGAATAAAAGTGGTGCCTGTGCTTACAAACAAATATCAGCAGACAGACCGACAGACCGACAGACCGACAGACAGACAGACAGACAGACAGACAGACAGACAGACAGACAGACAGACAGACAGACAGACAGACAGACAGACAGACAGACAGACAGACAGACAGACAGACAGACAGACAGACAGACAGACAGACAGACAGACAGACAGACAGACAGACAGACAGACAGACAGACAGACAGACAGACAGACAGACAGACAGACAGATAGACAGATAGACAGATAGATAGATAGATAGATAGATAGATAGATAGATAGATAGATAGATAGATAGATAGATAGATAGATAGATAGATAGATAGATAGATAGATAGATAGATATATAGATAGATAGATAGATAGATAGATAGATAGATAGATAGATAGATAGATAGATAGATAGATAGATAGATAGATAGATAGATAGATAGATAGATAGATAGATAGATAGATAGATAGATAGATAAATAGATAGATAGATAGATTTGATCGATAGATAGACAGATAGATTTGATAGATAGATAGGACGATGTTTAATTAACCTTGGCATCTGTGTCGACCCAAACCAAACTGGACCGTAAGCCTTCTTAGTTAACAGTTTCTGTCATCAAAGAATAGTTTTTGATCGAGTGAAGCGTCGGGGGGGGGGGGGGGGGGATGCTAATTTGGACTGTACTGAAATCGGATGTCTTTGGGCGTAAGGCGCAGATGTCGCAACTTAGCTGTAAACCACAACACAACGGGCCAATCGTCCCTTTAGGGGAAAAATAAAAATTAACACCCAGCGGGGAATCGAACGCCGGTCATCCGAGTGAAGGGCGGATTACTCGCAACTCTACTACAGAAGACTGAAGACTTTAAGTCAAATATAGCAGCCTAGCTGTAAACCACAACACAACGTGCCAGTCCCCCTCTCAAGGGCGAACGAATATTATCCGTGACATGAACATTGAGTATCACGTCGCCGCTATCGCAGGCTAGCTGTAAACCCCAAAATCGAACGGAATAAAAGAGCAGATATTGCAGCTTAGCTATAAACCACAACAAAACATGGCAGCCACCCAGTTACGGGCCCCCCTCCCCCCCCCCAAAAAAAAAATTATTTCACCCAGTGGGGAATCGAACCCTTATCACATGTGTAAGAGGCGAAATGCTCACAACCAGCTACGCTACTAAATACTCAAGCATTTAGTAGAAATGAAAGTATATAATAATAATGTGAAGTTCAGTGTTACGCAGTCAAAGGTGGCCAATCGACTAAAAACAAATCCAGGCCGGCAACGAAATAACTAATGAAATGATCGTTGCTGGAGCTAAGTCGTTACTGGTTTCTGCAAAAGTCATACATACAAACACTCTTTGAGTCAGAGGCAACGTTGTGTGAAAATTTGAAATCAATCGATTCAGTAGTTTCCGAGTTTTAAGCTAACAAGCTCGGAAAATTAACATTTTTATTCATATAAATACACACACCAAGCACTTTCAGTACAGAAATGGCATTAGATTCGTCTAATAATAAACTATATTTTTTTTTTTGGTAGAAATATCACTGATCAAATCTTTTTCAAAGTAAGAAAATAAAGTATTTCTTATAATATGTATACACCTGCTGCGATGCATATTTACGTTATCAGTAACTTTACTGTCAGAAATAGTGGTTTTGAACAAATCAATCAAATGATCACAGTTCGAAATAGCACACTCACAACTTAAAAACACTGCGACAGATCCTTCAACTTGTGATAATCCATTATTCGGTGTAGTTCTGAAAACATATGTCAGCGGTGTAATACCTTTGAATGGAACTGCAGTTTTATGCCTTATAAGTCTCTGCATGACTCTTTCAGTCTTGTATTTTCGCTTTAATTTCACACTTGCAGTACCTACAACGAGCCTTAGTCGTATACTCAGGAACTGCCATCATTCAGTCTTTAATTTTGTCACCA